AGTAACTTAAGAAAAACTGAATGCAATGCAAGGGCTGCAATTAGCCAGTGCAAACCATGCAAAAGAGAACTGCCTCCTGAATGGAAGATTCTTGCCCTTAAACTGGGTGATGCAGAACATACAGCATGTTCTTTCTTTGCTGCCTCATTTACTAAAATAAAGATCACAAAGCCAGAAATGCTGAAAATTCAGGCAGCAGAGGTTCTGAAAGGCACTGAACCAAACTGTAAGCCCAGTATAGGATAGAGCACACTTCAAGCCAAGTTCCAGCACCTACGCGCAAAATTCAAATTTTTTTTCCCTATGGGAGGGAAAATACAATTACACTTATTGCAAGTACAAAACAATGTGATTGTATCGTACAAGGTACAAATAAGTATAGACTGACTCCAGAACAAACAGAAATCCCCAGAACCAGATCCTGCAGCTATAGCAATGACTTCACTACCATTAATAGCAACTGTAGTGAATAGGGCTATTTGTGTGAGTAAAGCTATTCCCATTCCCAGGTGGTTATAGGACTTAGTACTGGAATATTAAATAGAGAAGACAGGATGCACTCAAAAGTCCAGATTAATTTTTCAATGCACCCTCTTTTTTAAGATGATCACTTTTCTTCCATTTTTCCCTACTCAATGGAACCTGAGCTGTGGTACCTCACAATTGGGAGAGTCCCAGAGGTCAGACCCCCGCCCGAGCCCAAACATCTGCAGCACAGTTAAATAGCCCCTTATCCTTAGCTGTGAGAGCCTAAGTCACCTAACATGGGCCAGACATTGGTATATAACTGATACATACCCAGAGAGGCTCCTCTCAATCCAGGAGAGCAAAATAACAGCAAAATGCGGCTGTGGGTTCCTCTCACCCAGGAAAAATTTTCACCATCCAAATAAATTTTTATTTAATCTAGATTCAGTATGCTCTACTTCGTGTCTAGTTATTTACCAGATTTGCATATGCCAATGAAACACTAACATTTGGAGTCCTCTAATAGGTCTTCTCTTTCAATGCAAAATTTCACCTGTCTCTGAAATTAAGGAAATCCTGGTTAGAGACAATCAATGCAGGTGAGGAATATAGAGCCTGGTTTTTTTCCTCCACTGAGCTGAGGGGGAACATGCATATTTTATATCACCATATCGAAAGTAATTCTAAAGCAGTGCTTAGTCACACCTGTCACTGACTGAAATTTGGAATTAATCCTTGAATATTCTATTGTCTAAATGAGGCACTAACAAAACTGACATATCAAAGAGATGAAAATATTGACTTTTTTTACATATGTTCACAGATTTTCATACCATTCTTTGTGTTTCTCTGTAATCCAAATGCTTTATTTCTAATTAAAGAAAATTCCAGCAGCACTTATTGATGAACAACCTTAAAAACTTCAAAACATTTAGCTCTTATACTTTGCTGTGTTAGATCGCAAAGCATGGATCTTTGTATCATTATTCCCATTTTATAGTACAGAGAAACAGATTAAGTGACTTGCCTTTGGTCACATAGCAAGTCAGAGTCAGGAACAGAACACAAGTCTCATGGCTACTAGTCCTATGTATTATTCAGTGGGACATAATGCCTTGCTAAAAAACAAAACTAACAAAAAGGGATTTTCACAAGTCCGTTCACTTGAGAACAATTCCACTGCCTTCATATTAGATGGTTTTCAAAGTGTGGTCTGTGATCATCTCGCAGGTGGGCCTTGGGAGTTTCACTGGTACTCCAGCCCTGTACCCACCCTGCGAGGTTGAAGTGCCAGCACCGGCTTCGCCTCATGGGCTGGATCCGGCTTGCAGGGGCAGGAAGCAGCTCCGTAAGCTGGAGGATTGGCAGCACAGGAAACTGCTCACCCAGTGGCTTTCTCCACTGCTTCCATTGGCCAGAATCCTGGCCAATGGGAGCAGTGAGGGGGCAAGGAGCCAGGTAAGCACCTCATCCTCATGCCCAACCCCTATCCCTCAGCCCACTCCTGTACCCACCCTCCTCCCAGACCTTGCATTCCTTCCTGCACCCTCCATCCTTCCCAGACCTCACATCCCCACTACCTCCTGCACCCATTTTCTCATCATGGGTGGTTGGCAGGTGGTCTGTGGAAAGGATTGCATTGAGCGGGGAGAGCTGTGACCCAAAAAGTTTGAGAACTACTGTACTAACCACTGCAAGCAGAGAGAGGTGACCAGTTTGTTCGAGAAAGCATACTGAAAACAGCAGTTTGGGCATGTGTAGTGGCATGGCATGCTTAGGGATAGCCATTGGAGTGCAAGCCCACCCAACCTCAGGTATAAACTCAAGTGGCTAATCCTAACTGCTACCTGTGTCGCCGTGGCCATCCTGTTATTTTTTGAACAATCAGCTTGAGCAGAGATGACATATCCGACTTCCCAGGCTCAGAGGCTAGCCCCCAACTGCTGTAGACATACCCTAAGAACAAATTAGTAGTAATACACTGATAAAGCTGGATTGTTCCCTATGGATTCACATACAGAAGTCACACACCTCCTTTCAGTGTCACACCACTGAAGCTGCTTAGGGGTGGAGCTTCATAGGTATGTCTGCCCTACACAGATCTGTGTCTGGTTAGTCAAAATCATGCTAGCAGGGTGCAAGCTTGCACTGTGGACACTGTAGCAACAGCAAAGACTTAGAAAGCCACTCAAGCTCAAACCTTGGGACCAGGTAGGCTTAACATCTTGATCTATCATCCTAGCAGCAACATTCACACTGCTATTTTTAGCACACTAGCTCAAGATGCACTAGCTAGAGTCTGCATATGCAAGCTGGGAGGTTCACTCCTACAAGCAATGTAGGCATATTCATAGAGTCCTGGGGGAATGCAAGAATGCCATTATCTTGCTCCTCAGCAATACTCAGATCAGAGCGTTCCAGACAGATGATACAACAGTGAGCTCTACTGCTACATTGTATGGGCCACATAGCTCCTACTGGAGCCTTCCACCATATATGCCAGCAGCAGCTCTTCTTGCAGCAAAAATCCTTGCAGTTCCCAGAGGTCTGTGGGGGTGGTAGGGTCTTGGATGCTCAGAAATCCACAACACCCATTCTCTTCTACTAAGACAGAGCTAGAGAAAAACTGCAAGGTGAATCAAAGATGACAGCAATCTGGCTCCTGACTAGGGATATTAAAATTAATCAAATAGTCAACAGAATTCCCATCAACTATTTGATTAGTCAATAAGAGCACCTTCACTTTGAAATGTAGCAAGAACCCGCCCACTCCTCCACACTGATCTATGCAAACCTCTGCACATGTGGGGCACTCCACATCCATCTGTATTAGCTTGTATCCAAGGTGCTAAAAACAGACTTGCATTAGCACCTGTTGTGCCACTGGCACTGAGAAAAGTATAGTCTAGTTGTCAGAGGATGACTGGGGATTTTTGGTTACATTTCTGGCTCTGTCACATACGCGCTATGTGAACCTCGAAAAATAATTTTAACCTTTCTATACTTTGATGTCCTAATCCCAAAAAAGGGAATAAATCCTTATCTTGCAGATTAATAATGATTAAATTAGGACAGTGAAGATTCTTTATTGTGCTTTGAGATCTTCTGATGGTGCCACAGAAGTGACATATCTAGAACTGTCTAGAAATTTTCCCACAAAATATGTTTTGAGAACACGTTGATTGGCTGAAGCCAAAACTCACAGGAATGTGCCCATTTCAACAAAACTTCCATTGTGAAAGGTTTTGCAGGTCCAGGATGGAATTTCTGCTCCAGGAGAGACACCCTGGCCAAAAATAGTCACTACAGGCTGGTGTCCGAAGCACTGATTCACATCAGGGGCTTGAAAGTGAATCTTCCATAACCACTCTAACCACTACTAGCCCATTCGCGTTGGGGGGTGGGCCTCTCCCCACTCCTTTTTCTAAAGAAATTTCAAAGGGCCTCTTTGGCCCCACCAGGACACATGCGGGCAGCTTGAAGGGCAGAGAAGCTAGTACCCAGGCAGCCCAGGGGGTAACTTCCAGAGCGATTCCTGTTTGCTGCGCATCCCCGAAGCACTGCTTGAGGGCGAGAGTAGAGACTAACGTGCCAGCTAAAAAGCCCCCCTCACGCCAGACTGGGGCAGACCACACAAGACGCGCCAACCTGGGGCAGCATTTGACCCTGCCAGGCCCTACCACTCTCCCATGCAGCAGAGCCCGTTTGCCGGTAGCTCCCAGGGCCGGCTCTTGCGGGAAGGGAGAAGGCGCCGCGCTCCCTGGACAGGTGCAGGACACCTGCAGCGGCGACTCCGGAGAGCCCCGCCCCCGGGCCCAAGGGAGTCATGCCGCACGGGGGGGGAAAAGCGGCAGGGCGGAGGGC